AACTCACTGAAAGTCTTAGCTGATCGTATTCGCGGACGAGTTGCTGGTGGTGGAGGTGGCTTTTGACAGCCGATCTCGAAATAATCGACAATGTCCGTGTTTTCTTCAGCAAACAATTCACTTTGAGTGTGTCGATCTTCCGAGTTCAAAATGCAGTTCAGTTGTGCCTCCTAAAATTGTAGTAGATTTTTTTGACCAAACATGGACCTAAGAATAACTCTTACCTCGAAAAAATACATCCCACTGGAGCAGTTGAATCCAAATCTTGATTGACTCTCCATACAGTATTCGAAACAAGCCTCGAATGTGGTCGCATCAGCTACAGCTTCAGCGAAACCGACTAAGACCATTTGTGGAAAACGCACAAATGTTGGCTCACAGTCTCTAAACAATATTTCCATTTATTTTCAAAATTCCTGGCACTGTTACCAACTTTGTTGCGCTCTCTGCCACGCAAATCTTTTCGTAATAAGTGGTATCATTGCGTTGCTTCAGTTGGCCGTTCCCAACTGGCACAGCCGTTTCTTTGGAGAAAGAGCAGGTCGAATCAGAGTAGTCAAATGATCTGCAGTCAAGCGTTTGTCCAGAAATCTGAAAGTTCAACTTTGCAACTTTTCATCATTGACGCGGCGTAGATGGCTCCACTAATCAATAGTCTCATTTCGAGGGCTTCTAAACTAATCTAGGAATATTTCCGGTGAATTTCGCTGTTGCAACTCTTACGTAGGTTTTCGCAGTAAATCATCTTCGTTCATATTTCACTCGTAAAAGACTTTCTGAGCATACAGTCTTCTTTTATATTTGAACGCCTCGCCTTCATTGCGGTTTTAAAAAAACAGTATGTACAAAGACATGCAAGTATCTCCTGTGCCTTCAAAAATGATTGAAAGAACGAACTTCTAATTCCCGAAATATGTTTGCAAAAATTTATTTTGAAGGTAAAAGTAATTATGCCCTACACAAATCGAGCTAACCTGATTTCTTTCACAAGCTGAGATGCATTCAGTTACACTGTTCACTGCTAAGATGATCTCGTCGTTATTATAGAGCTCAAATCCTTCGGTTTGGAGAAAACTGGAAATGAGGTATCATCAAAGACTTACCTCCACTTCCGAATCAACATAGAGTTTATCATCATTTTTATTTTTTATGAAGTCTACGGATTCTATCGAATAAAGTCTGCGTTAACACTTTCGATAATCAGTAATTAGGAAAGCAGCTGAAAGAAAGCTCACTACATTTGTTTGCCTCAATTTGGATTACAACAGTAGCTACTTACAAGATAACACATGAAAAGAAAACATCAATGTTGTAATGAGATGATGTAAGTTGAGTTGTTGGCAAACACAGAGTTTTTCCTAGAACGAGAAGGGCACACCAGTGACCCTTTTTTGAGGAGTTTGTACGACAAAGAAATTCTTTTGAAAGAAGGTAATCGGCAATAGCACGCACTTCGAAGTTTTTTTTGGATGCTTTCAAAAATTTTCTGGCCGTAGCAAAGCATAGTGTGTTCGACATCAATCATACCGCAGATGCGGTGCCGACAATACGCGTAAAAATGATCATTGAGAGCAGGCTCTCGAGGTTTGGCTCTCTTGGCTGATCCACGCAAAACTCTTGTCAACACCATAAATGTATTATAAGGTCAAGCCTTAGGTTATCCTTTAATTCAACAGATAGGGCTGGGAGGCGAAGTTTCGTGACCTAGTTAAAACTAGAAAATGATGAGAGAGCATGTGCGTGGGAGAGACGCAGATGCGGCGCGTGTGCGAGCGGCCGCCCTTCCAGCCGTCTATACCATTGAATCAAAGGGTATGAAAGAGGGAAATTCTGTGACACGTGTCTTTCAACACGAAACATATACCGACCCCTCAGTTCGACCTCACCTAATTCTTTTCCCTGGCGGACAATATGGCGGAGGTTGCGGGGTCTTATCGAAGAACTTCTGCTCAATGAGAGATTCCGTCTCTACCGTTTTCACCGCTTCTTCAAAGTTTTCTCGACGATCCAGCTGTGATGCACGTGCTACGACTAAACGAGAATATTATTGTAAATTTTCATAAAAATGTGTAATTCTACGGACTTTGGTCAATGGATGGAGTCGGCCTCATGGGTAAGGTGGCTACAGTAGTACTTTGGGTCGTGGTCGATTCTGTGGTAACTGGGATTGTAGATGTGATGGGGCTGCAAACATTATTCATTATTTTGTCAAGGATACAGACATATGTAATTGAAAAGAAAATGAAGAGCGCGTCTATTTTCAATTATCTGCTTCAATTTTTACGCGTTAACTATTTGACTCACTTCAGACAATGATAGGCATGAGTGGGTTCAAAATAATCGCGAGTCTGAAATTTGAGCAAACGAGCTGGAGCTTGATCTCCAACATGCGCGAATAGGTCGCAGACCTAAAAAAGTAAACGCTTTTTCATCTTTACTTATTCTTAAAGCACTTGCTTGGTTGATATTATCATAGACAAAAGAACGGCAAGTGTATGTTCCCGTCTGACTTTCGAGACAATGAGCCTTACAGTTCATCAGCGATAAAGATGATCTGGAATAATTTTGATGTTAGAGATTGTATGAGAGTTCTTATATAGTAAATACCTTCGCTCATAAGGCTGGGCGTTCACAATGATACAGTCAACATAACGTCGAAAGCAAGGATCATCTGTAAGCAATGCTTTTTATTATCATTCTATGCTCTTCCTTCAAGTCATGGTCCAACGACTACGTAGGTTCTTTTTTTCAATTTATCAGCTGCTTTTACAATCGCTCGATGTGCCATGCAGCATGATGAATTTCATTTCTGCGTTTTGTACGCCCTTCCAATTGAAGTTTGCAAATGGTAATAACTTTGAAACCTTTATAGGCACCGTCCACCCAAAATAGGGTTTATAAGATTTCGATG